GTCATTTATACATTCATACATTTATTTATTCATTCATTTATTAATTCTTTCTTTCATTCATACATTTATTTATTCATTTATTCACAATTATTATTTATTTAATCATTCATTAATTCATACATTTATGTATATTATTTATCAATTTATTTATTTATTCATTCATTTAATCTTACATTTAATTCATTTAATAATACATTTAATTACATTTAATTATTAATCAATTAATATATATATATATATATATATATATATATATATATATATATATATATATATATATATATATATTCGTTATTCATTCATTCATTCATTCATTCATTCATTCATTCATTCATTCATCCATTCATTCATTCATATATTATTAATTTATTAATTAATTAATTTTTGTATGTATTTATTTAGTGATTTAGTTAGCTAGTTAGTAACTTGGTAATTAAAAAAAACTAAATAACATAAAACAAACAAATATTTAAATAAATAAATAAATAAATAAATAAATAAATAAATAAATAAATAAATAAATAAATAAATAAATAAATAAATTGTTTATTTATTTATTTTTGTTTGTTTTATGTTATTTTGTTTAAAAAATACCAAGTTACTAACTAGCTAACTAAACAAATACATATATTAATAAATTAATTAATAAATACAGGTTTTGTAATGTATGAACAAAAAAAACAAATTTATAAATAAAACATCTGTGTTATATTTGTACATTTTTTGATACTTGAAAACCCCTTTTACCTTTATAAATAAGTTCTTCTTGATCAAACCTCGACTGCTTATGTCACCTCTCTTATTGATTTTTTTGTATTGTATATATATATATATATATATATATATATATATATATATATATATATATATATATATTGTAAAATAAATAAATGAAAAACTGTGTCATGATGGCTCAGTGGTTAGCATTGAGTCTTGGCTGGGTCAGTTGGCTTTTCTGTGTGGAGTTTGCATGTTCGCCCCTTGTTGGTGTGGGTTTCCTACAGGTGCCCCCCACCCCAACCCCCTTCCAAACACATGCGCTGTAGGTGAATTGGGTGAACAACACTGGCCGTAGTGTATGTGTTGTGTGAATTTGAAAGTGTATGGGTGTTTCCCACTACTGGGTCGTGGCTGGAAGGGCATCCGCAGCGTAAAACATATGTTGCAATAGTTGGCAGTTCATTCTGCTGTGGAAAATGAATGAATGGATGAATAAATACAGATCTGCAATGCATTTTCATTCTTTTGATGCCAGAAAACCCTTTTTAGTCTTTCACCTTTATAAATAAGACATTCTTGATCAAACCCAGACTGCATATTTCAGCGTCTCTCATCGATTTTCCACATTTTCCCCAATGCGAAGGCAGTGTGTGTGTGACGCGTTTCATGCCGATGCAGCACAACACTGTCAGGTCTGATCAGAGCCATCAACACAACATGTCCTTTCGACTCTCTGCGTGTCTCCAGTTGACCGCCGGCCTCTGTTCTGCACGGTTTTGACCTTTTGAAAAGCTTTCCTCCATCTGATGGACAGAGAGGGTGACGGCGTACAAGCTCAAGTATAAAGATGGAGAATGACATGCAATTATCAGAGCCGGCTTGAAGCAGAGAAATGCAGTTCATGTCTGCTGTGAATGCTGTCACTCCAGGTCCATCGACACCAAGTGTTTTAGTCTGAAGAGCCCATACTGACTTTGAAAATGGACATGCATTGAACAAATGCAGTGCTTAGAAAGCCATCGTTTGACCTGTTCTTCACTTTAAGTGCAGAAGAAACAGCTGTTGTGATGTCTCTTAATAGCCCCCTGTATATTTTTTCCCCCAATTTCTGTTTAACGGAGAGATTTTTTGCAACATATTTCTAAACATAATAGTTTTAATTATAAATTTATAATAACTGACTTCTTTTATGCTTGTCATGATGATGGCACAAATTATTTGACAATTTTTCTATATACTGTAAAGTGTTATATATAAAGTTACATTTAAAGGCTTAACTATTTCAGTAAGGTTAAAGTTAGGGTAATTAGGCATATTAGGCAAATCATAATAATATTATTAATATATTATGTTAATTAGTTACTATACTCATAATATAATACCTTGAGTCATTTTTATTTGAGATTTTAACAGATTTGTGTGTCTTGAGCATCAGTTAAGATGGCGTTAGCACCTGTCAGCTTAAATTGTGGGGAAAACAGGATAATGGTAAGCTTCTGTCAGCTAATTTCATCTTCTAGCTTTAAAATAATTTTGGGGGTGGGATCAAAATTGGGGATGTAGCATGAATCTGCTAGTGTCCAGCAGGTACACAACATCATAAGACATTAATATTAGGTTAGATCAGGGGTTCCCAAACTTTTCAGCCCGCGACCCCCAAAATGACAATGCCAGTGACTCGTGACCCCCAGTTTTCTCTGAGGTGGTGGTTATAAATACAGAAACCTTGTATGCAATGATGCACACACACCAATAGACCCAAGTCTATTCTTAGTTTTTTTTTATTTATTTATTTTTTTATGTATGTCAGTGCTGTAAATGGGCTAGAAAGTTTAACCTGGTGTTATAAAATCAATCTGCTGCATCTGAAAGTATTGCTGTGCCTTTAGTATAATGTAATTACCAGAGAAGTCGCAATCCAATAGAACTATTAACTATAAGCTACTATAGTAACTATATAGTATATAGTAACTATAAACGACTATTTTTTTCTCTTTAGTAGGTTATTGATAAAATACAGTAAGTCTTAAGGTTTAATAAAAATTAAATGATTTTTAAAAATCACTAGGCGACCCCCCTTCATTGTCTCGCGACTCCTCGGGGAGTCCCGACCCCCACTTTGAGAACCTCTGGGTTAGATTTAGGTCTTAGGGTCAGGTGACCAAAATTCAACATCTAGCCAGTGTCTAAGGACAACAATATTTTGACGTTCAATAACAATGTCAAATTATGTTGATATTTGGTTGATTTTAGGCAGTGGTGTAGCACAAAATGCGGAGCCCCCCCTGCAGGGATCACTGACGGGGCCCCCTGATGATGGGGGGGGGGGGGGGGGGGGGGTCACAAATTGAGGAGCGGGGAAGGGAGGCAGGGTGGAGCGACAATGCGGGAAAGCCTTCACAAACTGAGGAGCGATCACAAACTTAGGAGCGATCACAAACTAAGGAGCTGGAAAGGGGGGCGGGGCGGAGCGACAACCCGGGAAAGCCTTCACAAACTGAGGAGCGATCACAAACCGAATGCAGCGAGAGCGTCAAAGTAGCCAGAAGTCATTTAATTCAATGAGAACCGGCGGTGGGAAACAGCGCGGCGCGTCTTCTCCGGTGTGAGCGATGAGGAGAGTTGATATCAAGTCAACTTTATGGTATGAGCTATGACGCGGTTCGGCAAGCAATCAGAATGAAGTAGTCCACCACTCAGCATTCAGAGAACACAGACCTGTAAACTTTGGTTCCGATCACAGTTGTTCCCAAGAGTTTGATTATTGCGGTTGCCGGATTTTCAATATTAAAAATGGCGACGACGCAGAGTCACCTAATCACGCAGGGTCCCCCCGCGGTGCGTGCCCTGCGGGCCTGTCCGCTACGCCACTGATTTTAGGTTGTGATGGAAAGTGACCGAAATCCAACGTCCAATAGATGTCATAGTGGTAACGTCCACACAACATCAAGGTGCAACATGATTAGTCATTGATATTTGGTTGATTTTAGGTTGATTTTAGGTTGGCCTACCCTGATTTTCATTTCCAAAGAAAGTCCAACGTCCCCACGACATCGGGGTTTGTTGAGATACAACGTCAATACGATGTCATGTTGACGTCCTGTGCCTGCAGGGTGTAGTGATGACTTTTCTTATATGAGCCGAGTTTTCTTATCCTATGAGAAGACGCTGATTCTTAATTATTCATGAGAGCATGTGCTTTCCGAGGGCAGACCTGCCAAGCAGTAAGACCCAATTACTGTCATCCGTGCACGACTCCGGTCATATGTGTTTGTTTCCATGATCCACAGGGTTTGTTGAATGTTTTTCCCTGCGATGTTGTCAAGGCCGTTACAGCTGATTGTTGTCGGAAGAGCTGTACGAGAATTAGAGAATGGCGGACTTTGTCTTTTATCAGTTGAGTTCAGTTTGTTATCATACAGACACATCGCCTATATCAGTGCTGCTGTGTTCGCCTATGTTTAAAATCCTCCAGATTACCGGCAGAGCTAATGGTTGGAATAGACAGGGCAAGAAACCTGCTGCACTGCTATTCACTGTGTCTGCATTCAGACCCTGGGCTTCAGGAAGAGAGAAGTTCTCCTCATTTATATTATTTCCATGATTATCTTTTTATATTTATTTTATAGAAATTATGAATAACAAATGTAACAGGACATTCAATTACTGTTTATTTATTTGCAGTTCAACTTTGTAAACTAAAAAAAATTTCATGGTTTTGTCTTATTTTGTGAGCCAATTGTCAGCAGTTTTTTGCTCCCCTCTTATTCACTGCTCTGTCAGCCACACCCTCTCCTCCCTCTGCTTGTAGCACTCCACGCCCATCACAGAGCATTTTTTTTTTAATTCTGTGGTAGACTTGACTCGAAAGAGGGGGATGTCATGGCCCTTTAAAATGGGACAAAAAACTGCTTTTATTCTAGCAGTTATAAAAAATAAAACAAAGACTTAATAGAAGATATATTGTAGAAAATATCATTGGAGACACTGTAAAAATTTCCTTGCGCTGTTAAACATCATTTGGGAAACATTTGAAAAAGTAAAACAAAATCACAGGAGGGCGAATAATTTTGACATCAGTTGTAGGCATACAGGTACAGTCCCTGTCACTGGCAAGGCTGTGATAAAAAATGAAACTATATTGGCTGTTTTTTGGGAGGAGCTACTGTATGTCCTGCTCTCTCTTTATGTTTCAGTTGGGATTACGTCAAACTTTAAATAAAAAAAAATGCACATTTCAAAGCACATTTAACATCTGCCCATGTGTGTTTATCCTGCAGGTCAATATTTCTCCAGGCTGCAGTAAAGCATTGACTAAAATGTGGTACTGCCCGTATTGTGGAGGAATGTCAGGACTCAAACCCTGCGCCAACTACTGCCAGAATGTGATGCGCGGCTGCCTGGCCAACCAAGCGGATCTGGACCCTGAGTGGAACCTCTTTATTGGTGAGATGCGCTTGCTATTGTACCTTAAGCTGGGTTTTCTAATATAGATGTCCCCTATAAAGAACTTCCAGTTGGGTGCCTTTTTTCAATCAAAAACACTTTATTTTATTTATTATTTTATGTATTCTTTATTTAAACAATACTGGAAATGAGACTGTTTGAGTTGTTGCTCAAGTTTATTTTGTGTTTGACTGATTGATTGATTGATTGATTGATTGATTGATGGGTTGATTGATTGGTTGATTGATTGATTGATTGGTTGATTGATTGATTGATTGATTGATTGATTGATTGATTGATTGATTGATTGATTGATTGATTGATTGATTGATTGATTGATTGATTGATTGATTGATTGATTGATTGATTCATCAGTTGGTAGGTTGGTTAGTAAGTTTATTGGTTGATTGGTCGGAAGGTTGCTTGGACACTTTGTTGCTTGGTTGATTAGTTGGTTACTTGGTTACTTGGTTGTTTGTTTGTTTGCTTGCTTGCTTATTTTTTGGTTGATTGGTCGGAAGGTTGCTTGGTTGATTAGTTGGTTGCTTAGTTCATTGATTGATTGATTGATTGATTGATTGATTGATTGATTGATTGATTGATTGACCCGTCATAATGAACAATTCTACAAATCTATCTGAAGTGGGTCGCTTAGTTGATTTGTTGGTGGTTTGGTTGGTTGGTTGGTTGGTTGGTTGGTTGGTTAATTGATTGATTGATTGACCCATCGTAGTGAACAATTCTGTGTTTCTATCTACAGTTGGTTGCTTAGTGAATTCGTTGGTTGGTGGATTGTTTGTTTGTTTGTTTGTTTGTTTGTTTGTTTGATTAGTTGTTTGGTTGTTTGATTTGGTTGGTGGGTTGGTTAATTGGTTGGTTGGTTGGGTAATTGATTGACCCGTCATAGTGAACAAATCTACAGTTATCAGTATTTTTAAGCGGTGTATTAAACATATTTTTTGTTTTATTTTTAAATTAGAATTATTAATGCACTTTTTAATAATATATAATAAATGTATAAATATATATAAATATATATCATTTTGTTTAATAAGTGTGTTTATACAGCATTTGTACAGTATGTATTTAATAATACTACACTACTCTTGCTCTTATCTAAAATACTCTAATCTCCTTTTTTAAGTATTGTGTTTAATTGTTTATCTATTTTTTATTACTATATACAGTTTATTTATTGTTGTAGAAACACATCAGTTGTACCGAATTAGTCTAATCATCAAGTGTATTGCAGCGAACTCTTCCAAATACAAAGTTTCCAGTTTTTGGTTCAGTAGGTTTTGTTTGCTTCTGCCAAGAGTTTTCATTTCAGTACGCAGCTTTAGCTTTAGCCAACACACACTGTGCTCTGGCTCCACTCTGGCTTTTATTTTTTTATTGTTGGAATTATGTCACAAGAGTAAAATGGGTTGTGAATGCTATTCTGTGTTGCTTTAGTGATTTGCAAATGTGAAAGTGAGAACTTGCTCGCTCTCAGAAACACTGTAAATTGCTGTAAAGACAGTTTTTACTTCATCCCTGCCGCTCAGTTCTCTGTAATGTTTCATATACAGCTGTTGATGGCATGTAAATACAGTTTGAATGACGGCTCGTCTTGATTCACATGACCTATAGGCTCCAGCTTTAACAGCTTAATGTTATCCACCCACAGCACTGATACTGTGAATGTCAATAATGCCTTCCTACAAGGATGATCAGCAAACTCACTGCAATGTGAAAATCCATGTGTTGTGTAACTTGGCATGTGAAAGATTTTTGAGCTATTTTTGTATGTAAGGTGTATTAAACTGCCCCATAAAGTTTGTATTTCTGTTTTAGAGTCTCAAGAGTATAGGTTATATCTATTCCATGTCAATAACTCTTTGACTATTTTAATCCTCCAGCATTTACTCTATTGTGATTGTTCTGTTGACTGAACTCTGCTCTTCTCCTTTCTCCACTATAGATTTTAATGCTGTATTTTGATATATATTTTCAGCCTAAACTAATTGCTTTCATTTAACATTGATTCATCATATTTGAATTATCATAATTGCAAACTAATTAATATGATCAATGCATTAAATGTTTATTAATGCATGTTTTTTATAGGACACATTTTGCTTTGCTTTTCTTCTCCAAGCACTTTACCTTTGTTTTGTATTTTTCAGAGCTCATTTTGTACGTTATAGATTTTTAAATCAGTATTTTTCTCCGCCATGGACAGAAATTGACCAGCTTGATGGTGCCACAGTTCGATTAACAAATCAGGATAATTTATTGTGCTCAAATAAAATAAAATAAAATAAAATAAAATAAAATTAAATTAAATAAAATAAAATAAAATAAAATAAAATAAAATAAAATAAAATTAAATTAAATTAAATAAAATAAAATAAAATAAAATAAAATTAAATTAAATTAAATTAAAGTGTTTTTAAATAAATAAATAAATAAATAAATAAATAAATAAATAAATAAATAAATGAATGAATAAATAAATAAAATAATAATTAATAATAATAATAATAATAATAATAATAATAACAATAATAATAATAATAATAATAATAATAATAATAATAATAATAAAAACAGTTTTATGTAGAAAGACCAAATCTAAAATCAGTGAAACAAAAACATTACAACATCAATAAGTAAAATACTTTAACTAAAGCATTTACTTTTTAAATGTGTCTTTTATAGAGCAAACTTTATTTAGCTTTTCTTCTCCAACCACTTTGCCTTTGTTTTGTATTTTTCAGAGCTCATTTTGCATGTTATAGATTTTAAATCAGTATTTTTCTCCCCACGGAGAGAATGTGCTTGACGGTGCCGCATCAAGATGGCTTGATGGTGCCGCAGTTTGATTTACAAACCAGGATAATTCACTGTGCTCAAAATAAAATAAAATAAAGTAAAATAAAATAAAATAAAATAAAATAAAATAAAATAAAATAAAATAAAATAAAATAAAATAAAATAAAATAAAATAAAAAAATAAAAAATAAAATAAAATAAAATAAAATAAATGTATTTAAAAAACAAAACATAAATAATAATCATAATAATAATAATAATAATAATAATAATAATAATAATAATAATAATAATAATAATAATATTAATATTAATAATAATCAAAATGGTTTTATTTAGAAAGACCAAATCTAAAATCTGTGAAACAAGAACATTACCACATTAAGAAATCAATAAGTAAAATACGTTAACTAAAGCATTTACTTTTTAAATGTGTCTTTTATAGAGCAAGCTTTGCTTTTCTTCTCCAACCACTTTGCCTTTGTTTTGTATTTTTCAGAGCTCATTTTGCACGTTATAGATTTTAAATCAGTATTTTTCTCCCCCACGGAGAGAAATCGACCGGCTTGATGGTGCCGCAGTTCGATTAACAAAGCAGAGTAATTCATTGTGCTGTGCATATTTTTTCTGAAAGTGCGTTTGGTCAGTTTGTGAATGGTCAGCGCTGCCACTGACCTTTGCCATTGGTGGCATTTTCTACAGCTTCTCACTGGCATTGATTGGCAGACTTTCAGACGCTCCATCGATTGAACAAACTTCCAAACTTTCACAGCAATGCCTTAATTTAAACAAATCGCTATAATAAATACTGACGCTGCTGTGTTGATATTATCAGTTGTGTAATGCACTAGATATGCTTGTGTAATGCTTGTTGAACACACACATGTTTTGTAGTGTTGAGTTAGTGGTGTTTTAATGTTTGAAGCTGATGCGCAAACTCAAGGGCGTATCATGTATGCAATGTGGGTTAATGCAGTTTAATTATAGCAAAGCCCAAAGGAAACGCTGCTGTTTTATAGTTCAGGAGCTTTACTGGAGTGTTTTCAAGCAGAGTTCAGGAGGACGTTCTGATCAGATGTTTCTCCTAACATTAGAGGATGGAGATGTAAAAATGAATCAGAGAAATGAGAGATCAGAGGAACATTTAGACTGGGAAGCTTAATTGTTTATGTTTAATTTGTTATAAAAAATGTGGTTATTTTCCAGTGTTGGGTTATTGAAAGACATCCGCTGTGTAAAACATATGCTGGATAAGTTGGTAATTCAATCCGCTTTTGGTGACCCCTGATGAATGAAGGGTCTATATGAATGAATATTAGGTTAAAACTAATATTTGTTTTTTGTTAGGACTTTCCTAGTAATTGATTTCTATAAGTCCAGTTACAAAACATAATTACAAAGTTGTTGTTTTATAAACAGGTTAGTTTTTGTTTGTTATTATTGAATATTTGTATTTTTGATTATTTCATTATACACAGTCTTACACTAATTGTAACCAAAATCCTTAATCATTCGTTAAAATAAATGAATAAATGAATGAATAAATAAATAATGAAATGAATGTAAAAATAAGTTAATAATAATAATATAAACTTGCAGATGCAATTATTATATTCAAAACCTAAACCAATTGCTTGCATTTAAAAAAAAAAAATTATTTATTTGTTTATTTATGTATTAATTAATTTATTTATTCATTTTTATTAATTGATTTATTTATCTATTTATACAGTGTATTTATTTATTTATCAAAAAAAGTCTATATATTTTAGATAGCATAATTTAAGACCATTATACTTACAATATTTATATGTATGTTTCAAACCAAATTTAATTGCTTGCATTTTTTATATCATTTATTTATTTATTTATTTATTTATTTATTTATTTATTTATTTATTTAAATACAAAAATAATATTAGTAAACAACAAATAAACTAAAAAAAAAAAATCATCTGATCGTTTCTGTTGTTTAATTTACTTTTATTTTGTCAGTTTAGTATTTCACTAATAATTATTTTTTCAATTCACGAATGAATTACATGATGTTTAATTTCATTCATTCATTCATTTTCTTGTCGGCTTAGTCCCTTTATTAATCCGGGGTCGCCACAGCGGAATGAACTGCCAACTTATCCACCAAGTTTTTACGCAGCGGATGCCCTTACAGCCGCAACCCATCTCTGGGAAACATGCACACACACACCCACACACTATGGACAATTTAGCCTACCCAATTCACCTATAGCGCATGTCTTTGGACTATGGGGGAAACCAGAGCACCCGAACAACACGAACGCAGGGAGAACATGCAAACTCCACACAGAAACGCCAACTGAGCCGAGGCTCGAACCAGCGACATTCTTGTTGTGAGGCGACAGCACTACCTACTGCGCCACTGCTTTGCCCTGATGTTTACTTTTTGTTATTTTTTAGTTTTGTCATTTTTATTCTATTCAGTCTAGCTTTTATTTAAGTTTTAATAATTAAGCTTATTCAGGCTATAAAAATACACATGCATTTAACAATACATTTTAAAAAGTATTTTAACACATCAAGTCACTGTAATAATTACTTTGAAGCTGTTTTGTTGATTTTATCTTATTAATATGCTCTAAATGCTTGTTGAACTCCCAGATCCTAGCATCTCCTATTAAATTAATCAGCAATTAAAGATGCTACTGATACTATTCAGTCATGTTTTTAGTCGCACATGCATTTCTCTTATCTGGCTTTATTAGTGACTTCAGATCTTGAAACTGAGAGATGCAACAGCAGGAATAATTTGTTAACACATTTCACGCCAGGATCCTTCATTTGCTAATTGTTCTTTGTTTGATTTTCTCAGAGAGATAAATCTGATTTTGCGACATGTTTTTGGTCAGCAATGAAAGACTCCTACTGCGAAGCGCTGATGTTCCCCATCAGCATTTGATTCTGCTGAACAAATGCTAACGCTGCGAGAAATTAATAATCTGCTTTATTCATTTTCTCTGAAAGCCGCAGGGGATGGCATTCATCATGGTTTTAAATCAATGGAAATTAAAATCCATGTAA